CACATTTATTAATTCATATTTTAATAACTATTGCACATTTTGCAAAATGGTAAATAACTTTTCTGTTCGGATTGACCCGATCTACCTACACACTTCGGCTGATTCGTTCGTTATGAGACACCCTGTATATGTATATATATATATGTAAAGTTTAGAAACTAACAATTAGAAATATATTTTAAAAAAATACTTAAAATATTGAGACCCTAGTATATGTTTTATACGTTGTCACAAATCGTTTCGCTGTCAATCGGGATATTCGCACAAATGACACATTTTTTTTGTTCCCGCGAACTCGTCGTTTACGCGCGCATATATTCAGCAGCGCGACCCCAATTAAATTTTCCCGAACTTTCCAACGATTTTGTCCCGTATCTAATCGAGAACTTTCATTTCTGTTGCAGATCATCTAGCGACTATCGCGCCGCTTTGAAAATATCTCGGAGATATCTCGCTTTCCCGCGCATATTCCGGCGTACGTGGGAGGTCCAAGTTTTCGCCGATAATCCGACTTAGCATTTGCCGCTTAACAAGCCGAGCGTAATTATCGAGGATACGAAGAGGATCGTTTCGTGAGCAGATATTCCGCGTCATAAGGAGCGTTTCCGATAGCTTCTCCGGTTTCTCTCTCAGGTAAGTATCTCAAGTCCGCCGTTCTCCCGACTGCGTCTGCGCAATCTAAATGTGTCCGATACGGAATTGTCCTTGTAACATATTACATTTAGAGAATTCTCGCAAACATTTATGGAAACTGCATCAGGCGGTTTATCTTTGGTAGTATGAGATTCGCATTTAAATTTATTTTATCTGAAGATAACAAATTCGAGACTTGAAGATAAGAGAAAATGCGACACGATTTAGTACTTAGCAAATTGTTATAGGCAAACCGATTTGGGATAATTTGCTGTAAATAGCGCAGAACAAATGTTCTTGTATATATAGTACGTATATATATACAATATAGTTAAATAATGACAAGCAGAGTTAAATTAATGCATTCCATTTTTAACACGTTAAACGCTACGCCGCTTCCTGCGGACCAACGTTGTACTTTTCGTTTAGGCCACACCGGTCCCTGTGGACCGACGCTCGACTTTTTTTTTTTTTTGTGTGCTCACGCGTCGCCTGAATAAAAAATCGACCAAAATCGGCGTTTAACGTGTTAAGCGTGTTAGTTATTGTTAAATATTTACGTGCACGTTTATCTAATTGGTTTCTAAAAATATCGATTTTCCGACGCGATAACTCGCGATAAGCCACGTCGGCTTTGCACACTCGTAGAGCATAAAGAATCACTACAACACGCCGGAATGAGAAACATTGCCATTTTGTTTGGTTTTGTTTTATTTGCGAGGCCGTATCTTCGAGCGGTGTGACGAGAAACGAGCTTTACAAATAGAGAGGAAAAACAAAAAGAGAGATTTGCGCACTCGTTACCTGTGAACGTACACATGAAAAATGCATGACGCCGAAAGAATCGTTATGCTAATTTGCGAGAAATACGACGCGTTTTGCGCGCGGCGAGCCTCTGTCTGTCTCTGTACGCGATCCGTACGTCATAGATACGCGTCCATTCATACATATATACATGACCGTTGTAATTAAAGTCTGCCCATTAGATCGGTCTGGCAAGCGGTTTTCTTCGTTCGTTCGATTCATTTCCATCGCGTGTCACTTCGATTCCGCGGAATGGGAGAAGAGAGCTTTCAATCGCCGAATTCCAGTCGTTTAACAGAAATTATATAATATTTTACGCGTATAATGGTGGCATAAATTTGCAATGCTAGTCCGGTAACGGTGATTTATGACCGCGATAATTAATTATTATACACGGAGAATGTTTGCAAATTATATTTTATATTCGCGTGACACTTCGCGTCGGAATAAACGATGTTAAACAGCAGTTTTGCATTACCGCGCCTTGGCGCTTTCTGTTTTTGATACGCGCGCGTTTCCGCGACGTTGTACATTTTGGTTAAATTTCACAATGGGATTTTTTTTTTTTTTTATTCACTGTTTGTGAACATAATATTCGGGTTGTCGTACATGAGACGCGCAACGTGTGACGCGACATCGCGAGAAAGTCGCGTTTTCTGATCGTTTTCGGGATTTTTAATAGCGTGCAGAAAAAGAGAGTTACTACGCGCGTTTGATTATTATCAGTCTGGTCAAATAATTCTCACAAAGAAATTATTACGTGTAGGTACATATGTGGTAATTTGTACATCGCGTTTCTCTCTCTCTTTCTCTTGTTTTAGAATTTTAAATTATTTAATACACGTTTTTATTCTCCCCATCTTGCCAGCTTTTGATATCTTCTTTATTTGTTTTGGTCGAGTTAATTCCATAATAACAATTTAAAAGAATATACTTAGTAGAATTTAATAAAATTGTTGTTATATTGACGCAGACGTGGAATCACATTTCCATCTAATAATTAATGTACAATTACCGTGTAATTGCAATATTTAATAAATATTATTATGCATTACCGTAGATTAGTATATTGTGTAATTATATTTATATTTATATTTGATTAATTATTTATAATAAGTTTGGATAATGTACAAATGTGTGTATAAATTCTTTTAATGTTAAATCATTAAAAAGTACGCGTGGTTTGGCAAATAAGAGCCAACATATTGGAATTCAATATGTGTGTGTGTCAATGGTAGGTTTTTCCACTTGTCTATAAAACATTCTGAACTTTGGGAAAACGGTTATAGTGTGTGTCTGTGGCGCGCGCGCAAAGCAATCTACCGAAAAAGAGAGAGAGAGAGAAAAACAGTATCTGAAATCGGTCTAATCTCAAATTTAAATTAGCACCTCTCGTTTTATGCGGAAGGATTCAAATTGAAAGTACTTTCTGAGCGTGAAGTCGTGACAGGGGGCGATGAGGTACTGTGTGCGTGCGCGCTTCTTTTCACCGGAATGCCGTGACGGCGAGTGACTCGGGAGAGTGACGGAAATTGTTCGCACTTTATTCCCCATTCCATTATTCGCGGATCGTGGAAATCTCATGCATCACAAAAGAAACGATCGACCGGTGAATTTACCTTGCGTACTAGTTCGCCTATACGTATTACTAATTTATCATCCCTCGATGTGTTCCTCTCTCTCTCTCGCGCGCGAAATTGCCGAAGTCCTAAATACATGAGTTTCAAATAGAACTTGAATATCGGAGAATTTAAAGAGAGAAATTACAGTCCTCAAAGTGACCATCTTTTTTTTTTTTTTTGGTTTTTATTTCCCCTCGTTGTCACCTCACTTTCGCGAAGAGCAACGAGAAGTGTGTTAATTTACAAAAACATTTTCAATTACTTTTTGTATACGTTTAATCCCGCGCTGATCGAGATTTCAGAAACACAATATACAACATAATGAGTTTTATCACAAAGAGAATTAATTTATAACATCGATGGTCATACACAAACGAGATAGAGTCAAGTTGTAAGTTAAGTTCAGAAAAGTTTAATTTATCCGTCTCGTTATTCGCGTATTTTAACGCTTAGAATTCGAGTCGAGTGAGATTTATTCTGAGAAACATTCACTTCGCTTTCCGTCTGGCATTTTACTAGCGAGACGACGAGTTCTTGTCACAAGTACTTTCATTTGTCCGCTCATCAGTTTCACGTCCGTTCGCATGATGACTCGTTCGAGAACGTGAACGCGAATATGAGCGGGAACAGCGATTGCAAAGCGAGACACATGAGATATAGGTGACAAGGACTTCGCTCTTTCAATTGCTCGCTACCGTAAATTCACCGATGCGTAACAAGCGTGAACAACGCATTTGCATTCGACTTCTCAATAGCAGAAGTGATGAGAAATGACTTGACAATGGCTGACAGGTTTCATCCAACTAGAACTACTTGTCACGTGCGTGGTGACTTTGATCTTTATTTGCGTACAACACGTGTTGTCGCAATCAACGAATTATTTTTATACGCGTCATTTGTGCGTGTGTCCGCGTTTCTTTTGTAATAAATAATAATTATGTGTACAAACCTTTTGATATAAAATGTAAATTTATACTTGCTTTTTATTTTTATAAAAAGAACGTACAAAAAATACATATGCATTTTCAATATTGAAATAAAATATATGTACCTATTTAAAAAAAATAGAAGTGCGATAAATAAAATTTTTAACACACACAGAAGTGAAGTTTGAAGAACAAATATTATTTATTATCATTTGCGACGCGGTTGAAGATTCTTGAAACGTAAGCACACGCAAAATCGGATTCGGCTGAATCAAAATTCGCGCGAGCGGAATAAGAATGTTTATGTAAATTTGATTTTAAAACCGCGTTCGCGCAATTAGCCGTCTTTTGGCATTGCAGTCATGTCTCCCAATTAATAAGCCGCGGCGGTTGCTCGCAAATGCGTTGCCTCCCTCGTCGATTTTATATTAGTTGTAACGTAACGATAGAGCCATTTGCCGTGGCTAACGACGTAGTTATGTGTTCGTTGCGTTTCAATCCGTTATTGCGCCCGTCGTTTGATTAATACAAAGGACGGGAATCGATGAAAGCGATTGCCACGAGATTGCGCGTAATAGCAACGCGGCCGTGTAATTAAACATACTCTGTAAAGAGCTCTTCTTCCGCGAAGAATGCAATAATTTCGTCACACAAAAGTAACTACATCGTCGTTGTAAAATGTAAAATACATTCGTGTCCGGTCTGTGACAGCAGCGCGCGCGCGCGCTCGTTGCATTTAATACGAAGAGAAGAGATACGTTTGACGAAAATAATTATCATGTGAATTATTACGCGCATAATGTATGCAATTAACATAAGAAGAGGTTTTTTGTGTAAAGAAAAATTACTGTACATGCGCAGAAGCTACGTGCTTGTTTCTGAAAAAGCTCTGATCGTTAAAACTTTCATCCAACTCGACATAATTGCACGATTATCTGCGGATATGTATTTTTTTTTTTTTTTTTATTGCGAATTAATTAAGAAATATTTATAATAAGAGAAATGTCAATAATAAATATTATTAATGAAGAAATTTTAGCGCGGAAACAAACTGGTAGTTATATAGTGACATTTACAAAGAACGCATTCTCTCTTTTAACTTCAACTCCTGAATTTGCTGTCGCGCATCAAGTGCAGCTGCTGTGTGCAATTAAAAAAAAATCTGTTGGTCCAATATCGAAAAGTAACGAACGGACTAACGGTTAACGCTCTAACGATAGCACTGCAACGTTATATTGTGTGTCTATGTGTCTACGTGTGTGCGCGCACGCGTGTGTGTGTGTGTGTGCTAACGATAGCGCACGTAACATTATTATGCGCATACACACATATAACGCGATAGTTTGCGGCTTAAGATTATGCGTTGCCAATTACTTTTTATTACAGTGCGAGTCTATATCGAATTTTCGCGATTAAAGTAGCTCTCGCAAATTATTTTCTATGATGCAATTGTACATATTACTGCTCCCGCAATGTTCTTGCGCAAAAGCGCGCGAGTTAAACTCCACAACGCGCGGTCTATTTTACGCAACACGCGCGTATATATATATATATTTTTTTAAATACATTTTACGTATGTTTTATTTCTCTCTTGTGCATTTCCAAAGCTTTTTAATATTGAATTAAACGCGCAAGAGTCATTAAATGA